GCTGTGTACTGACTGAGCAAGAGGTTCAGCTTTATAAGAAGACATCTCTGTATCAGCTCTCACCCCATGATGGGCTGCCTGGAGCAGCTGTCATGCAAGGACCCCTTCCAGCAGCTGAAGTCATCATGAGGTGACGCCAGTAAGGGAAAATGTGCCCACAAGAAGTCAGGCCTTCTCCAAGGTTCTCCTGAGGTGCAGGTCACCCATGGCTAACTCCACTGGAAACACTGAAGAGCTACACTGGTGTTCCCCCTTCCTCAGGCACCCAAATCAAGAATATCTGAAATTATAGCCTTCTGGCTTTCTTCTGCTTTCATTTGATGTTTCAATATAGTGTAACAGTGTGTAGGAAGAGACAAAGGGCAAAACCAGAGGTGCCACATTTGAGAGCTGAAAAAGGTCTAATGAGCTAGTCATGATGTATTCAAATGTTATTTTTAAGGGAAGAATCATATTTTAAAATAACTCTGTAAAATAGGCAACTTGCTTTCAACAGATCTGTTGGCTCTGAGCGCCCAGCTCTACTGGCACACTGGCTCTGAGCAAGGTGTATTAAATAAATATTTGAACATAAAAGCTGATACAAGTTACAAAGAAAATAAAATTTCAGAATATAAGTACATTATTACCCTAAATCTTTTTATTCTGAAAAATTTGTGATTGTTTTTTCCTATCAGCTGGAGGAACAACACAGAAGGAAGAAGCTACTACCACTCCCTGCTTACATATTAAGATTAGCAGAGAAATTTAAATTGTGCTTCTGAAATGAGCAAGCACACCTCCATGGTATGGCTAGAAGGTCTCTCCTTTTCTTCTTCCTGAACAGATATGCTGTCTTCTGCTTGTATCACAATTGATCGCCCAGAAAACCAAGACATCAGGGAAGAAGTCAAACAGATTATCCTCCTCTTTTCATAGCATAAACCAACAAATTTATTAAAGGACTACAAGGTTTTTCCATGTCAACTTCATTAATCACAAGAACTGCCATGTTAAAAAATTTAAGTCAAAGAACACTGGAAAAATAAGAGCTGCATTTGTCCAGCAAAATTTTATCACCAATGATGGCAAAAATATTCAGCTTTATTCCTAGATGCTGTCTGAGTTAGCAGGAAAACACTCCAACGGGAGAAAGAAGAGTTGTAACATACAAACTAGGCACTTCAGTCCAAAGAAAGAAGCAATTAATATCCTCTCATGGCTGTTCCTTGTCAGAGCACTCTAAGCTAGTCAAACAGCTTCACTTAACAGGCCTGTTCTGCATATAGTCCAACTGAAATGAAAGGGACTTTTTCAGAAGTAGTGTCACCACAATATTATTTACTAGGTTTGGGGTTTGTTTGGTTTTTAACCAAATAACTCCAAAAGTCAACTTGGCCTCTGCTTTTGAGAAGCTCATATCATGAATACTAAATTCCATTAATTAAAAAAATTCTGATCTTTGGCTTTGTTCAAATTCTGAACCCAAAACTGAACTGAATACTTTTTGGTACTTACTGGGCTGCCAGAAGTAATTCCAGGAATCTGAAAGATATTACTGGGCAATGTTTAGTACTGCTATTTTACATTTACCCAAAATACAGTTGTATTTTTCAGCAAGTCCTATGTAACTATTGCATTTCAGAATGTACCACTTACTATAAAAAGTTCATCTGTTCCATAAGATGCTACAGCTAACACAGCCCTGGCATGAGAATTTCAGCATGAGAAAGTGTAGACAACTGGGGAACAAGATGTATTGCATTTAAAACTCACAGGGAGTGAGCATCATATATCTGACCCAACAGCTAAAGAAACAGCTGAAAACAGAACGATGCAAAAAATAACGCCTGCAACAGCACTGTGCCATTTATACATTTTAAATGTAATCTGGTTGATTATCTCAAATTTTCATTCTGATTTATTTTATGGAATCAGAGATTTTGGAATGCTTCATACCCTTTCTGGACATAGTATCACAATGCAGTATGCTTCAGCTCACCACTACAAAAGTAGTAGAGCTGCAAGGATCAATAGTCACTTAACAGGGTGTAAAAAACGTAAGAGGTAAAAAGGAAAGGAATATGGGAAACAGTAAATAGTTTATAGTCAGCACAGCTGGTTTTTTTAGTAGCAAAGAGTCTCCTTGCTTCCAATTTTAACTAGATGGGTCACACTTTCTACTGTCAAAATAGGCATGACTTCAGTGAACTTGTGGAACTAATCCATTTTACCCTAGCAGAAGATTTAGCCATAGACTCTTCATTTCTGATGCCGTGAGAACAAAATAAGGCCTTATGTGATCAAGTAATTAAAACCAAGCCACTTTAAAATGTTCAGTAAACACAGTGAATCTCATTATGCTGACATTACCTTGCTTGCAAAAATGACCCTTATTTACACACTTTCAGAGATGTCTAAAGAAGAGTTGTATTGTTTTACTTGTTAAAGTTGCTGACAGAACTATACGTTGGCTTGCAGGCATGCTTATTATTTGATTCTACTTTAGATACCTACTTTTAAATAGAAGTATTCTAATCATACTTTATCTCTGTTGGATCAACATTCTTTGAGAGACATTGTTATAGAGAAGGCACTGAATATTCTGGAATATCTCAAAGGAAGACAGACAGTTATAAGTAACCACGGATGACTTTCAAAGACATGGACAGATACTATCAAACTTAAATTAATTAAAGCACTAGGTACTGACATTCTTTACCCTTAATAAAGCGTATATTCTGTGTCTTCATAATTACTAACATCTTCATACCACCTTAATAGAAGCATTCAGGATATTGAGTTTATTGTACTGTAGTGCAAATACTGCTGGATGTCTGTTGTGTCCTCTTCGCTTTCACAGATCTCTACTATTGGTTTTATCATTAAATTAATGGTATTGTTAGTGTTAGATCTAACATTAGAACTGCTGCTTTAAGAAACAACTCTCTCAAAACCACTTTTGTTTCATATCTCAAAAAGAACCTAATAGTACTATCAAAATCAACTGGATAATATATTTAAACAAAAAAATAATATAACATACTCGTCACAGCCTTTAAGCATAATGCACTCAACACCTGGAGTTTCTACAAAAATTTTGTTCATCAGCCTATACGCCTAGCTGCATACAGTACATACAGTAACTGCTTTTTGGAATGTCAGGTGGCAAGTAGAATGAGTGCATTTTACTTCTAGAGAAATCAGCTGAAAGCAAAGATACTAACAGAGTGTCATGGTACATTTTAATACCAGAATCCTAACAGCAGTAGAGGGGAGTGGTTGTCATGTATGCCAGTACTATTAGATCACATGATTACATATCATGTTGCATACAACTTTTTTCTTTAACTCAAAATACAAATCAATTCATTGCTATTTATTTTAAACAGATTTGATGTATCTATGCACCCATCCAGACATACGTGTGAGAAAATCTGTGATCTTCTAAAATGTTTTAATTTGTAAATCCAAGAATTTCACTGTATTAAAACTCTCTATAGGCTGCAGGGTCAAGTATTCTATTTCCAGAACCTTATAAAGATTATTATCCACAACATCGTCAGACTAACTAGTTTTTATACTGATCACTTTACTAGTCATACACCATATGAGACTTTTCTCCAGTCTAAATAACTGATTAGCAACAGTAACTTTCTGATATTCCCATTAAGCTTCACCATTCTTGTTATATTCATACACAAATCTTTAAGATTATTATCTTCATTCTACATGGCTTGAATTAGTTAAAATCTCCTATCAGATATCATCACCTACTTTCATGGCTAGTTAAAACATGGGAAAGGGCACAGAGATGACTTCAGAGAAATTCAGCACGTCATCTAAGTAAATGTACCTTGCCTTCTGAAAGAAAATTTTCATCTAGAAAATCTAGTATCTAAACTTTCCTGTAGTCCTGTTAAATTTAATCTCTGAGAGAGTAAAAAACCATGCCATAGGCTAAATGTGGTATATATTTTTGGATTCCTTCTGCAGTAAGGATGCTAATTTGAATGACTGGAGTGGTACAAGCAAAACAAATAAGGAAAATGAAAGAGTACTGTGTTATTGTTTCAGTTGCCACTTGCTAGTACACCCTTCAAATAAGATACAACTTTTACATGTATATCCTGCTTTGACTTGTGTACTGAAAAACTGTGATTTTTTTCTTTTTTCCTATACTTTTCATATTTTTTTTTGCCACCACCTTTCTTCAAGTTGAGAAAAGAAAAAGGAAATAACTAACAATGACAACTACTTCTATACTGTTTTCTGTCACTGCCCTTCTGTTTTCTGCTCTTTCACCCTTCTCAGACCAAACCAATAGAAACTTCTGCTTCAAAAGCAAAGGGACTTATCTCTTGCCCACCCTTCTCTATATCCATATAATGCCAGGCTATCAAGTGAGGCCAGCAATTCCTCTCTATTTCCTATTGATATGTGAAGTTCAAAGGTCCATTGTGCGTGTCTAAAGAACGAATAAAAAGTGAAGCATATCAACATTTTTGCCCAAACTGCAGGGAAACATTTTTAGAGCAATGTGAAGGGATTTAGATGTGTGACTTCCAATTACCTTAATGACAGCCATCTGGTTCAACATCGATACATCACAGTGAAATTTTACCCCATGCTGCACATAAGTAATGTAGTAATTTACAATTGGCCATCTTTATTGGCCAAGAGCAAAGAAAGAATATTTTTGGAAGAGAAAACATTTTGCACTTACTGTACCAAGGCCTTGACAAGAATATTTATTTTGTCTGGAATAAAATCAACAAACAGCAAAAAGAAGTAGCACAAACCTCCCTCCTCCAGCCCTTGTTTTATTTTCACTGTAAAAATAATCTTCTGGTCCACAACATGAGCATGTATTTAAATTTAGGGAATCACACAATGAAGGATACTGCTTCAGATTAATTTCAGGTAATGCTTGAAATCTGTATCTCAGATTAAAACATTTCTCCCAGCTTTTGTCCAAGAAACATAGCAGGCTGTATCTTCAACAGCAGATGAAAACTCACCTTATTACAAAGTCATGGCTATCAATCTCTTTTCCACATCCACTGTCCAGAAGGATGCCAGAATTCCCAACAACTGCACAGGTTTTAAATCGACGATTCTTCATTGGGGAAACTTCAGGAAGAAGGCTGTGCAAATCCTGAGAAATGTTTAGGGTGCGACGTCTGTCCAGTACATAATGGATTACATCTCCTGGCTTGAAGCTGCTTTTGACCACTGAGACATCTCTTTCAGCATCCAAGAATCGAAGAATGTTCTTTCTGGGTTGACAGGAAAATGCACAGATAAAACCCAACGCTCACTGCTCGCATGGAGTTTTTATCTAATAGTAACACAGACTGTACAGAGCATACAACATAAAGCAGTGGGTAGACAGTGTCAGACAGACTAAGGTTATTTCCCATGCTCTAGGATGGAGTTAGAGCAAAGCTGTTAGGACAGTGTTCAAATCTTGGTTACAATTACTACAGTGATAGACCTTAATGATTTCCTAAAGACAAACGCACCAAGAGACCAATGGAAGATGACTTTGGAAATTAGAAGGCACACTATTTTAAGTATTTTACAACTTTGAAATAAACACGTATTTGAAAAAGGACCAGAGCAATTTATTTTCATAGAAAGACAGTTAAATATGTGAGGTATTTATGATTTAGGAAATAAATGCTTTACTACAACCTCATCTCTCACAAGTCAGCTTGGTTCAGGAATGGCCATGTTTTCTTAGATTCTTATTTCACCGTAAGAACAACATATTCAGTTTAGCATAAACTTGCTCCTAATTCACTGAAGTTCAGCCAAAGGTACCCTAATTAACTTGAATAAGAACACCCCACAGTCTTTTCACAGAATCAGAGTCATTTAGGTTGGAAAAGACCTTTAAGATCATGAAGTCCAACTGTTAACCTAACACTGCCATCCCACCACTAAACCATGCCTTTAAGCACCTCATCCACTCATATACCTCCAGGGATGGGGACTCGACCACTTCCCTGGGCAGCCCATTCCAGTGCTTGCTAGCAACACTTTCTGTGAAGAAATTTTTCCTAATATCCAATCTAAACCTCCCCTGGCACAACTTGAGGCCATTTCTTCTTGTCATATCGCCTGTTACCTGGGCCCAAAACTGAACACAGTATTTGAGGTGTGACCTTACCAGCACCGAGTACAGGGGCACGATCACTTCCCTACTCCTGCTGGCCACACTATTCCTGATACAAGCCAGGATGCTGTTGGCCTTCTTGGCCACCTGGGCACACTGCTGGCTCATATTCGGCTGGCTGTCAACCAGCACCCCCAGGTCTTTTTCTGCCAGGCAGCTTTCCAGCCACTTTTTGCCAAGCCTGTAATGGGGTTACCATTTTGCATGGGGTTGCCAATTGCATGGGGTTGTTGTGACCAAAGTGCAGAACCCGGCACTTGGCCTTGTTGAACCTCATACAGTTGGCCTCGGCCCATCAATCCAGCCTGTCCAGGTCCCTCTGCAGAGCCTCCCACACGACTTGGTGTTATCTGCAATCTTACTGAGGGTTCACTCTATCTCCTTGTCCAGATCATTGATAAAGATATTAAAGAAGACTGGCCCCAAAACCTAGCCCTGGGGGACACTGCTTGTAACCAGCCACCAACTGAATTTAACTCTGTTCACCACAACTCCTTGGGCTCAGCCATCCAGCCAGTTTTTTACCCAGCAATGAGTGTGCCTGTCTAGGCCATGACCCACCAGCTTCTCTAGGAAAATGCTGTGGGAGACAGTGTCAAAGGCTTTGCTGAAGTCCTGGTAGGTAACATCCACAGCCTTTCCCTCATCCACCAGGCAGGTCACCTTGTCATAGAAGGAGATCAGGCTGGTCAGGCAGGACCTGCCTTTCATGCTGGCTGGGCCTCAACCCCCGAATGTCCTGCATATACCTTTTGTACCAATTTAAACAAAATCAGCTTAAAAACATACTGCAAATTAAACTGCAGCTCAGGGTCTAGTCAAGCTGTTAGCTGAACTCACAGAAACACTTACTGACTCTATCATTGTTTTAAATCAGGTTAGTCCAGTCCTTTATCTTGCTTCTCTGCAATTAATTGTTTCAACAGGGTTCAGACACACATGATCAAGATATGAGGGTTTAACAAACTACCATGGGTGAAGTGAACTATGGCAACTGAACAGTTGTATACTCCCAGTCCACAGCAAGTAACAGGTGAAGAACGTTTGCTTAAATGTCAGCTGAAGAAGTCCTGGTACCTGCTTACCTGGGTAGGGGCAGGGGTCTAAAAACTGATACACTTTCAATACATAAGTACAAAAAAAGACACTTTTAATGACTGCAGCTATCTAATGAGTGATCCCTGCACTGGCAGTGTTGAGCAGTTTTTAGGACACACTTATCCTTGGTATAAAAAGCTGGGAAGGACTCCAGGCCAGAGCTGAAGGAGCCACTAGTTGCTCAGGACTGCAAATAAGCAAAGCCTTACCAGCTTGTGTCCCTTCCAGCTCCGCAAAGCATGTACATTTGTGAAGAGGCATAGAGATCACACCTGAACTTAAACACATGGTTAAGTATGGAACGGACAGGGAGTGCTGAGCTGGAGCAGGGTGTTCACTATATGTTAATTCAAATATAACCTTTGCAACTATAACAAGACAAGAAGAAAACCAATATATTTTCCACTGTTGTCAGCAAGTATGGTGGAATTTAAAACAGAATAGACATGTTGTTGAGTAAGAGATTGCTATTTTTATGTAATAATTTTTTAGAGCAGAACTTCCTTACAGCAGATCAAAACAGGAAAAGATAACTAGAGATGCCACTCTAGCGGTTGCAACACCCACTGAGAGACATAAAGGGGAAATAATCCCCCACAAGCAAAAAGGGATGAACAATAGGAACACCATGATCATCTGCAGCCAACGCTTGTGCCACTGCATCAAGAGGGAAGAATAGTCTGAAATTTGCAATCAGTGACAAAAAATTGTCACTCTGGAACTGACCTTAAAAGCCATAGGGGAAGTAAAACACGATAAAAATATTTTTTTAAGTGTTTCCTCTAAATTCTTAAACTAGGACAAAAAAAAGGAAATAACATTTTGGGTTGTCTCTTACGGCTGTCATGTATAAATGAAGCAGCATCAGAGCAAAGAGAGCTTGTGCTGAGGCATATGAGAGACTGAGAATAATGGAACAGGAGAGACAATGTTAAAATCCTGAGTGTCTTAAGCTTTTGGTAAAGCCAGGCAAGGTATTTCTTTAAAAGGAAAGTAAAGACTCCACTTCAGCCTGTAAGGTGAATGGACTTAAAATCTCCACAGGTTTGATAAGCTTGACTTTGTGGGTATTCTGCAACAGATATATGTTGCTACAAAATGAAAAAGAGCAAGAAAGAAGATATTGCCCAACCTAGTAGTATTAAAAATTACTAAAATTCTTCACTGCCTAAGGACAGAGCTACCAGAGCTGTGGCTGTTTTAAAGGACAAGATTAATGCATCAAAAGCTATCAACAGCATCAACCAAACTATTCAGAGACTCACTTCACATGCACTCTGACATGAGAAGGGGTGACCACGAAAGAGTCTCAAAAAGCAAAAGAAATTATGTGAAATGTACAGAAGCCTAGGGCTCTGGCTAAAAAAAGTATCATGTGAAGACCAGAAGATTCGCTTTAATAATTCAGAGCACCCATTCCTGATACCTAGAATGAATGGGCCTCATACTGCTTCTGTTAGCAAACAAGTAGCAACATTTGTGCATGGATAGAGTACCTTGAGTACTATTTTAAAACACAAGAGGAAGGCAGTGAAGTTATGCAAACAGTGCCAAAAAGAAAACGCACCTTGCTTCCATTATTAATTTGGTTACTTACAGTCAAAGCTTATTTATCTATGTGCTTACATATGTTCACTGAAGTCCTCCAAAGGGTTTCAGGTGGACCTGAATTAGACTTAGATAATCAATGACTTATTTAACAGAGCTGAAATTTCCAAAATATCTAAGGAATTTATTTTTCATAAATTTTTTTAGGTAGGCAAAAGTCACTGAATCTTAAGTTTCTTCTTACATATTTAAAAACATTTTCTTATCTGAAATTGTCAGTAGCATATTCAATTAAATGTATGCACAGGTATTGCAGTAAAAGAAGCTTTGTACGAGATGTGTAGTAATGCTGACATTAAAATATTTTAATTGATTCATCTGACTGTATCTAGGTATCTTACAATACTGAAAGAAATATGATGAATATGAAGCGTGCAGATGTTCATGCTGTTGTTTTATGTTCCTCTGTGCTACTGATTCATGTGTACCATGGGATAGTAGTACTTCCCATTTTCATGTCAGTGCTAAGAAAAAAAAAATTTACTAAGGGGTATGACAAAAACCGAAAGTATATACGTGACTGTCTCAGTCTTGATGCTGGTTAATAATAAGAACTTGTTTCAATGTCTGTTCTATCCCACAAAGAGCACTGAAAATAGGACAACAAGGTTATTCTGATTAAACAGACATGACAAAATAATGTAAAGTACTAATTCATATCCAGCTGCATATAAAATACAAAAGTAAGCTCAATTAGAGGAAGAAAAAAACCAGCATGATTTTAGTAAACCTTGAAGCAAAGGTGTTCTGCAACCTTAAGCTAAAAGGTGTGAAGAGAATGTTTTATTTGAGGTGGCCTTCAAGTTTTGTTTTGATGAATAAAGCTGTATGTAGGGTGTGGCCTGTGCCCTGTGTGGGTAGGTGAGGCAGACGTGGCTCATTCTTATCTGAAGCTAAGCAGCTGTTTGCAACATGTTTACATGACTCGCGGAAATACGATATCACAATCTGTGGTTGACCTAGGGGTTTTTTTTCTGATAATCAGAAACAGATGTTCATAATATTTAAATACTACCTACAACTCCTGGCTATCCGATAAAGTATGTGTAACAGACAGCATTGTCTCTGAACAGCTTTCCAAATGATATAAATATACATTGCTCTGAGGCAACATGGTGACATTTCTCTACTTATGTGCATTTTTCTGATTTTATTTTATACTGTACTCTTTGTGCTACACAACTATTATATAATGGCAAACTCTCCCTCATCTGCCTCAGAATTGTGTGGTTTAAGGGAATAAATCACTTAACCATTTGACTTTCAAGATTACAAATAGATTCATATTTTTAGACATTGTCAAGAACACTGACATATGATCACCAATGCCTTTCCTGGGAAAATTATTCCTTTTGAGCAAGGCAGTACCAGAAATCCTCACTGCTGGGTCAT